AAGAAGAAGAAGAAGAAGAAGAAGAAGAAGAAGAAGAAGAAGAAGAAGAAGAAGAAGAAGAAGAAGAAGAAGAAGAAGAAGAAGAAGAAGAAGAAGAAGAAGAAGAAGAAAAAGAAGAAGAAGAAGAAGTAGAAGAAGAAGAAGAAAAAGAAGAAGAAGAAGAAGAAGAAGAAGAAGAAGAAGAAGAAGAAGAAGAAGAAGAAGAAGAAGAAGAAGAAGAAGAAGAAGAAGAAGAAGAAGAAGAAGAAGAAGAAGAAGAAGAAGAAGAAGAAGAAGAAGAAGAAGAAGAAGAAGAAGAAGAAGAAGAAGAAGAAGAAGAAGAAGAAGAAGAAGAAGAAGAAGAAGAAGAAGAAGAAGAAGAAGAAGAAGAAGAAGAAGAAGAAGAAGAAGAAGAAGAAGAAGAAGACAGAGAAGGAGGAGAAGGAGAAGGAGGAGAAAGACAATTGGAACAGGAAGATGAAAACAAAGTCTTCTTTTTCTTCTTTTTCTTCTTCTTCTTCTTCTCCTTGAGTTTTGCGTCCACATCCGCTTTACAGATCTGACTTATTTGTATGCAGACTGTTGGTTCCTTGCCAACAGGATACATTAGGACGACCCTATATAGTCGTCTGTAATGAATTATTAGGGTCAGGGAGTACACCCCCCTCCCCGCCATGGGAACTCGCAACCACGACGGAACAATAAAGCCGACTCTTCGACGGTGAACCTTTATAAGGACATTTTTACCCACTGGGTCGCATCAGGCATATGATTATACACTCATGTTTACACACACCAGCCGCCATCTGGTGGGTGCAGCTTTCCGCTGGTTACAGAACACGACACAAGCATCGCGACTGTAACAGACACAGAAATCATGCTGGGGAAGGTCAGGACAGGCATGCTTGGCTTCGGAGGTCACGGGTGAGCAGCATTTTTGGGATCTTTTCACTGGGATACGCAGGTGTGTTGGGAAATGAACAGGCGGATAGAATGGCTGGCTCTACACAACTTGGTGGACTACTGATGCATGCTAAGGCAGACGTGGTTGGAGCTTTGTGGGAGAACGTGTACAATTCGGAGGAGCAGATGGATCACCACAGTCTGATGACGCTCAGAGGAAATGCAAGACGGACGTATCATCAGACTGCTACTAGCACTATTGGTAATGAAACTCTGCGCTGGCTGCTGAAGATGTTGACGGAGCGCCTATGGGAATGCCTCACGTGCTATGGTCGGTATTTGAATCAACAATGAACAGTGCGGAGGCGCAGATAGATCATTACGGTCTGAGGAGAATGGCTCTGCGAGGAGTTACCAGGGAATCTGGCCGACGCTCAACACTCAGGGGAAGGATGAGACGGATATACAATCAGACAGTTACTGGTACCATAGGAATTGGAACTCTTCGCTTGCTGCTGAAGATGGGGACGGAACACTTACAGGAGTGTCCCGAGTGATGTGATGTCGATTCTTTATTCAACATTTGAACTCGACTCAACTCAACCATTGGAGGGTTATGTGGTAGTAATCGCACCGGTTGCCTTTACTTTCCATGCCCTGACCTGCTACCCGTTTTAGGCTGAGTCGACCTGGGAGCTAAGGCAATTTAAAAAAAAAAACACTGTCTAAATACGGATTTGAACCCACGAAAGTCGAGCTGGCAGACGAGTACATCCAATACTAGGCCATATAATTATGTATTGTCATGTCACACTGGGCTCGCAGTCTTTTTGTCCATTCTTTTCTATTCTGTGCATCCTTTGGATATCATGTACGAAATCCAGTCCTCCCCGTGTGGGTTCCGGGGCCCCATGGTGGGGACAACAAGAATAGACCCACTGCCTACCCAACAAGCATGTCGTAAGAGTCGACTAATTGGGGACATCCTTCGAAGTCGGAGTACATCTGCCTGAGAAGCAAGGGAGCAAAAGTCTGCATTCAAACAAGCCAGACCTCTATCGACCTGAAGTTCTTGTAGAGTTTCGAGTGTTGCCGATTCGGGGTAGTTTCCCGAATCATCTCCTCGTCCTGCCTTCTTGAGAACATTGAGAATGTCGGCCGAGCTCATTGCTTTTCCTGTACCTTTCGTGGCCCTGCCAGCAAGCCAATCCGCTCGTTCATTCCCTTTTGCCCCCAGAGTGTCCTGGCACAAAAGTTTAGCCAATTCCTTTCAGACAAGATTTTCTCAGCCATTCAAACTATTTTCTTTGAAGACAAAATAAGGAAAAGAACCAAACAAGAAAAAACCCACAGCACCATACAAGCATGATGCAACAGGTGACTATTTAGGGATTTACTTAAATATGTTGCACTGGGCCAAAAGGAGCAGATATCGTGGCCTAGCTGTAAATAACAAAGCAAAATACCAACTGTCGTTTTCATGGCAAACGAAGTAGTAGTAGCAGTAGTGGCGGTGGTCGTGGTAGTAGTAGTAGTAGTAGTAGTAGTAGTAGTAGTAGTAGTAGTAGTAGTAGTAGTAGTAGTAGTAGTAGTAGTAGTAGTAGTAGTAGTAGTAGTAGTAGTAGTAGTAGTAGTAGTAGTAGTAGAAGGGAGAAAGGAAGAAGAAGAAGAAGAAGAAGAAGAAGAAAAGGAGGAAAAGGAGGAAAAAGAGGAGGAGGACGAAAACTAAAAAGAAAGAAAATAAAATAAGAAGAAAAAAGAAAAAAAAAAGAAAAAAAAGACTAAAAGAAGAAGGAGGAAGAGGAGGAGGAGAAGACGGAAGGAAGGAAGGAAGGAAGGAAGGAAGAAGAAGAAGACGAAGAAGAAGAAGAAGAAGAAGAAGAAGAAGAAGAAGAAGAAGAAGAAGAAGAAGAAGAAGAAGAAGAAGAAGAAGAAGAAGAAGAAGAAGAAGAAGAAGAAGAAGAAGAAGAAGAAGAAGAAGAAAAAGAAAAAGAAGAAACACTGAAAATGACAATGGACCATTCACAATATGTTAAGTTTGCAACACTTGCAACGCAGAAAACAAACAGCAAAAAGAACAAAGAAATAACTTGCAAAATAAAGCCGAGAAAGAATACCGTTTAGAAATCAAGCATCCTCTTGAACCAAAGTTAAAAGGCACTATCTTCATCTTGCGTGACATCGCTGCCCGTTTCTCCGGCAGATGTATCAGGGGGATGTGAGTCAACATCTTGACGTAAAGTTTCCCCACATTGGGAAATGTTACACTCGTCCTCCTCCTTCGGAGGCGGGTAAATCGCCAAGGGTGGTCGGTGTATTTTGTGATTGTTCACTGGTGGATATCGCGACCCGAGATGGAACCTCATGACTGGAGCGTAAAGTCTGGTCAGAATCTGAAAGTTGGTCAGGAGCAGTAAACTGTTATGTTTTATTTAATTACTTCAGTGCCTTCCCCTGCGCCCTCTAAAAGTACTAGGGAGTTTGGGGAAATGCTATTCTGGTCTCAAGACCCAGCGGAAAACCCCAACTGCACCTCCACGAGGTAGAGGATGGTCAGCCCATTGCGGTGTGGCCAATGCAGCAATGGCTACCGGTTGGACACCTCTAGGAAGCCCTCAGCTGTTAGCAGGAGCATCGCAGAGCAGGGCACTAACTTGTTCTGGCAATCTAAAACGTTGTTGAAGGCTGAGAACATAGTCCAAAGACGGGTGGATGTGGAAAGCAAGGGGAAACTACCACATTTTAATCCCAAGAAACTCATTACGGAAGCATGGTACCAGGAAGGAGGGGCAGGGGTCGACCAACACGAAGATGGGCACAATATATAAGTGACTCCTTGAAAAGGATGTACACGAGGCGAGAGAGCTGACGAGAGACCGAGTTTCTTTCAGACAGACCGTAATGAGAGCGACGTTGTGCAAAAGATCTGCTTCATAAGGATTATGATGTGTCTTCTCCGCAATGGAGATTAGCTGCATCGCATATGTGAATCCACTGCTATTAGTAGTAACTATTAATAAACAAACATATGCCTTTTAAATTATCTAACATTCAATGTCATTGTAGTGAAAATCACGCAGTGACGTCCCAATCTCTTCCATGGTTTGATTCTCATCGCACCCAAAGCAGTCAGAAAAGTCTTTGTCTAAGTCGACAGTTGCTGACATTAAACGCCGGTAAATTCGAGGATTATGAAACGCATTCACTAATCCATGTATCTTTTATGCTGCAGTATACAGATATGAGTCGGGGACTACCTCACAATCACCAAAGAAGCTTATTTGCGGATGAATGTGTGCATACCACTTCTTAATGGGAACTCGGGACCCATATGTGGGTGGCCACAGGTTTAACGCGGCGTCCGTGGCTAAGGCGTTGCGAGTCCGACTCGTGAGCCAGCATACCGCGATCGAAACCCACTGCAGGCTGCGTGGATTTTTGTCGTGGTATGGGACGTCGCAGGTCGACCCAGCCTAAAAAATGAGTACCAGGATGGGCTGTCCTGGGAAAGTAAAGACAGCCGGCGTAATGCTGACCACATTGAGTGCTGATGGTCTGTAAAAATATGGGACTCTCTGCCCATATGCCCGATGCGCCGAAAGGCGTGAAAAGGGATCTTTACTTTACTTTTTACTGGTTTAACATCATTTCAGCGTACCCAGATAGAGACATCAGAGACCCCCAAAAAGATCAATTAAAACTTCCGCTTATTTAGTATAAATAGCAAGATTTTTTAATTTAAAGGAAAATTAAAACTTAAATAATGTTTTTCAACTGCATTACTAAGGAAGGCAAAGTGGTTGTATTGTTGCTTGCCAGCACCGTAACTAACAGTTCAAATCCTCTGAGGCAGAAAGGTTATTGGCCTGCCCCTCTAAGTCTACTACACCTGAACAAAAATATATACGGAAACACAACAATCTTTTGAGAAGTAAACAAAAACACTACAATCTTTTAATTATGTTGTAGATAGAGACACTGTAATCTGTTCAGTTGTAGAGACTCTGTAATCTGTTAAGTTGTAGAGACACTGTAATCTGTTCAGTTGTAGAGACTCTGTAATCTGTTAAGTTGTAGAGACACTGTAATCTGTTGAGTTGTAGAGACACTGTAATCTGTTAAGTTGTAGAGACTCTGTAATCTGTTAAGTTGTAGAGACTCTGTAATCTGTTAAGTTGTAAAGACACTGTAATCTGTTAAGTTGTAGAGACACTGTAATCTGTTAAGTTGTAGAGACACTGTAATCTGTTAAGTTGTATAAAGAAGCACTATAATCTTTCGTATTGTTTATAGACCCTGTTAAGTTGTATAGAGAGTCACTACAGTCTTTTAAATTGTACATAGAGACACTGTAATCTGTTAAGTTGTATAAAGAAACATTATAATCTTTTAATTATGTTGTAGATAGAGACACTGTAATCTGTTAAGTTGTATATAGAAACACTACAATCTTTAATTATGTTGTAGATAGAAACACTGTAATCTGTTAAGTTGTAGAGACACTGTAATCTGTTAAGTTGTATAAAGAAGCACTATAATCTTTCGTATTGTTTATAGACCCTGTTAAGTTGTATAGAGAGTCACTGCAGTCTTTTAAATTGTACATAGAGACACTGTAATCTGTTAAGTTGTATAAAGAGACATTATAATCTTTTAAATCGTTTGTAGATGTACTATAATATGTTAAGTTGTATATAGAAGCAATATAATCTGTCATGTTGTAAACATAAGCACTATAATTTTTTTTACATTGTAGGGACATTATAATCATTTTAACGGTATACAGAGACATTATAAACTTTTTAATTGTAAGTAAAGACATTATAATTTTTTTCAATTGTATTTAGAGACACTATAATCTTCGTAATTGTTAATAAGAGGTACTATAATCTTTCACAACTGTAAACAAAGGGACTATAATCTTTTAAATTGTAAATAGATGCAGTGAAATCTTTTAAATTGTAAATAGATGCAGTGAAATCTTTTAAATTGTAAATAGATGCAGTGAAATCTTTTAAATTGTAAATAGATGCACTGAAATCTTTTAAATTGTAAATAGATGCAGTGAAATCTTTTAAGGCAGTGTTCTTCAAACTTTTACAGCCGCTCCCAGGAAAATTAGGAGACATATTCATGGGCTAGCTGCTGGCGAAGCTACAAACAACCACAAATATAGATAACATTTTATTGATTAAATTCAATGTCTTTAAGTCATACTTTCTCAGCCAATAGCTAAGTGGAGTGGATTGTTACCCGACCAGGACATCACACAAGCGATAAACACACGATGAAACAAAGTGCCACCATGTGGATGAGAATCACCCGTGGAGAGGTCCCAGAAACCGCGTTCAGCCATTAGACCATATTTATGTTCGGGCTATATTGCGGCCCCTGGCAAGAGCCAGGGTGGGGCTTCAAAAAAGAGAAAAATTGCGTCTCACAAGGAGAGGACTGGATTGTAAGTAGCCAATAGCTAATATTCCCGCAAATAAAAATTTGTTGCTTATGAGCTCGGGAATGTTTTCTGAGACAGAATGTCGCAATAAAGATCATCCCATTGTGGCTTTGGTAGTCATGTCTATCCACAACCTTCTGTCTCCTGTCATAGTCTTCTTATAATGGATGCCATGTGATGTTTGAAGTCATGTCTATCTACAACCTTCTGTCTCCGTCATAGTTTTCTTTTAATGGATGCCATGTGATGTTTGAAGTCATGTCTATCCACGTTCTTCTGTCTCCTGTCATAGTCTTCTTATAATGGATGCCATGTGATGTTTGAAGTCATGTCTATCTACAACCTTCTGTCTCCGTCATAGTTTTCTTTTAATGGATGCCATGTGATGTTTGTAGTCATGTCTATCCACGTTCTTCTGTCTCCTGTCATAGTCTTCTTATAATGGATGCCATGTGATGTTTGAAGTCATGTCTATCTACAACCTTCTGTCTCCTGTCATAGTTTTCTTTTAATGGATGCCATGTGATGTTTGAAGTCATGTCTATCCACAACCTTCTGTCTCCGTCATAGTCTTCTTATAATGGATGCCATGTGATGTTTGAAGTCATGTCTATCCACAACCTTCTGTCTGTAAGGTTCAACCCCTAACAGGACCGCACAACGAGGGAAAACATCCGGTGACACAAAGTGCCACTATTCGGATGAGTATCCCCCGGGAACAAGTCTCAGAATCCCTGTTCAACCGTTTGGTTATATTAGGGCACCCAATTACAGCCTGGGTGGGGCTTTAAAAAAACCAAAAATTGCGTGAAACATTGAGGCGGAGTTAGCAGTTAAACCTTCGGTCTCATGTCTCCTTCTTACAGTCCATGCACTGTGGTGTTGGTAGTCATGTTTATCCACATCCTTCTGTTTGTCGTTCTTATATTTTATACACGAATAATAGTCAGATCTGTTTCTTTTTCTTCGAGTCCACCAGCTGTAAACTGGCGGAAAGTTCTGGTTGTTTATCCACTTCTGCACTGCAGTCCTGTTCCAGAACCTGAGTGTTGCGTGTGCATCCGTTTTACACATCTGACGCATTTGAATGCAGACTAGTGGTTTCTTGCTTCTCAGGCAGATGGAAACCGACTACGAAGGAAGCTCCCAATTAGTCGACTCTTACGACATATTTTTGGGGAGGCAGTGGGTCTATTCTTGTTTTCCCCAACACTAGGGCCGCTGAACCCAGACAGGGGAAATAATCAGATCAAAATAAGTATTTAGAAGAAAAAAAAAAACAGTTAAAAAAAATAAATGAAAAAGAAATAAAGACAGGCTGCTGACTTTGGCAATAATATGGATAAGTACCATAACAGCCAATCTGGCAGACAACATAAATGCTGAATTAATGTTTTAAAAGGGAATAGGAAAACCCTTCACCAATGTAGGACCTTACAATATACAAAGTAATGTGTGAGTCCAAAAGTTAGTAGTTTGACATTTGAGTCAAAGATCTTCTAAAACCTGGCAACATTGGGATGCTTCACCCCAATGATTGAGTTTCTGCCTCCGATGACTGAGCTTTCACCATCAATGACTGAGCTTTCACCATCAATGACTGAGCTTTCACCATCAATGACTGAGCTTTCACCATCAATGACTAGGCTTTCAACATCAATGACTCACGCTTGCCACTCTCTATTACTGAGATTTCACCCTCCCTTGCTGAGCTTTCACCCACAATGACTGAGCATTCACTCTCAGTGACTGAGCTTTAACCTTTGTAACTCAGATTTCACACTACATGACTGAGTTCTCACCCTCCACAACTGAGTTTTCACCCTCCCTCACAGAGTATTTACCATTCCTTACTGAGTTTTCACCATTAATAATTGAGCTTTCACCATTCAAAAATGAGTTATCACCCTCCCTAAGTGGGATCTCACTCTTTATGACTGAACTTTCTCCCTTCTTGGCAGAGCTTTCACCATCCACAACTGAGTTTTCACCCTCCCTTGCAGAGTATTCATCATCTCTCACTGAGTTTTTATCATCCACAATTGAGCTTTCATCCTCCCTCACAGAACTTTTACCTTCCCTCGCTGAGCTTTCACTATTCACGAGTGAGTTTTCACCCTCACTCGCTGAGCTTTCACCGTCCATCAATGAGTCTTCACCATCCATCGCTGAGCTTTCACTATCAACAAGGGAGTTTTCACCCTCCCTCGCTGCGCTTTCACTATCCACGAGTGATTTGTCACCCTCCCTCGCTGAGCTTTCACCACTCCCAAGTGAGTTTTCACCCTCCCTCACTGACTGTTCACCCCTCCTCGCTGAGCTCTCATTCTCGCTCACAAATTTTCCTATTCCCTCAAAACGGTCATTACCACTGTTATCCGAACTTAAACTCTCGAAACCTACTTCTTCTTCATGGTCCCCAGGTTCGAAATGGTCTCCGAGTTCAGGCCGATGAGCATCAACTTTAGAATGAGCATTTGCTGTTGGGGAAGAGGAGATTAATGGACGCGGGCAAGGGGAACTGGCTGGAAGATGTGATGGATTGGTCAAGGCTGAAGTGCTTGTGGAGGATGCTTGGGAGTTGGATGATGTTGGTGCTTCACTGTGGACTTTCTGGAAAGCCAAGAGGCAGTGGAGGTTCTCGCTGCAGGCACAGGTCTTCGAGTTCTTCAGCTGTTGGATTCCTTTCCAGGTCTGACGGATGTTAATGTAGTTGGGGGACTTGCAGCTGAGGTCTTGGCAGATTTGGTCCCAGCTGAGGAAAATATAAAAGATAAAAATGAAAACAAGAGCAGAAGCTGGAATTCAAAACTAACTTCTGGATAAAGATTCGACGTCACAACACTCAGGGTTAGCCTATGAGAACTCTGTCTTCCTCCTTAACAACCAGCGAAGAGTCTCTTTACAAATGGTACTCGTTATCATCTGGGTAACTGCTAGTCTTGCCTTTCCCTGAGTCTCTAGTGGTGCCTAGATTACCTGTTCTACTGGGTCTCTAGTGGTGCCTAGATTACCTGTTCTGTTTTGTCTCTAGTGGTGCCTAGATTACCTGTTCTGTTGGGTCTCTAGTGGTGCCTAGATTACCTGTTCTATTGGGTCTCTAGTGGTGCCTAGATTACCTGTTCTATTGGGTCTCTAGTGGTGCCTAGATTACCTGTTCTATTGGGTCTCTAGTGGTGCCTAGATTACCTGTTCTATTGGGTCTCTAGTGGTGCCTAGATTACCTGTTCTATTAGGTCTCTAGTGGTGCCTAGATTACCTGTTCTATTGGGTCTCTAGTGGTGCCTAGATTACCTGTTCTATTGGGTCTCTAGTGGTGCCTAGATTACCTGTTCTATTGGGTCTCTAGTGGTGCCTAGATTACCCGTTCTATTGGGTCTCTAGTGGTGCCTAGATTACCTGTTCTATTGGGTCTCTAGTGGTGCCTAGATTACCTGTTCTATTGGGTCTCTAGTGGTGCCTAGATTACCTGTTCTATTGGGTCTCTAGTGGTGCCTAGATTACCTGTTCTATTGGGTCTCTAGTGGTGCCTAGATTACCTGTTCTATTAGGTCTCTAGTGGTGATTAGATTACCTGTTCTGTTGGGTCAAGACCCAGAAATTGAGAACCGCTACTCTAAGCAGCAGCATATGTCACATTAGCTGAAAACCGCAAGTTTGTGACATCGGATTTCCTCTTCTTCTTCTTCTTCTTCTTCTTCTTCTTCTTCTTTCGTTCGCCTGAAATAAGTTGTCTATATGAGCAAACTTGTCTCTCGTATAAATTTCACTGTAATGTTTAGTTCATGCAGTGGTCCATAGAATTTACGTTCCACTGTTGTTGTTAGTTCATTCAGTGGTCCATAGAGTTTACGTTCCACTGTTGTTGTTAGTTCATGCAGTGGTCCATAGAATTTACGTTCCACTGTTGTTGTTAGTTCATTCAGTGGTCCATGGAGTTTACGTTCCACTGTTGTTGTTAGTTCATGCAGTGGTCCATAGAGTTTACGTTCCACTGTTGTTGTTAGTTCATGCAGTGGTCCATAGAGTTTACGTTCCACTGTTGTTGTTAGTTCATGCAGTGGTCCATAGAGTTTACGTTCCACTGTTGTTGTTAGTTCATGCAGTGGTCCATAGAGTTTACGTTCCACTGTTGTTGTTAGTTCATGCAGTGGTCCATAGAGTTTACGTTCCACTGTTGTTGTTAGTTCATTCAGTGGTCCATAGAGTTTACGTTCCACTGTTGTTGTTAGTTCATTCAGTGGTCCATAGAGTTTACGTTCCACTGTTGTTGTTAGTTCATTCAGTGGTCCATAGAGTTTACGTTCCACTGTTGTTGTTAGTTCATTCAGTGGTCCATAGAGTTTACGTTCCACTGTTGTTGTTAGTTCATTCAGTGGTCCATAGAGTTTACGTTTCACTGTTGTTGTTAGTTCATGCAGTGGTCCATAGAGTTTACGTTCCACTGTTGTTGTTAGTTCATTCAGTGGTCCATAGAGTTTACGTTCCACTGTTGTTGTTAGTTCATTCAGTGGTCCATAGAGTTTACGTTCCACTGTTGTTGTTAGTTCATGCAGTGGTCCATAGAGTTTACGTTCCACTGTTGTTGTTAGTTCATGCAGTGGTCCATAGAGTTTACGTTCAACTGTTGTTCTGTCTGACCAAAAGATTTCCCTTACTGTACCAAATGTGGTTCAATCCAGCAGTACATGTTGTCTGAGGCATTTTTATCACAGCTGCACATGGCTGATATGTCTATCTTGAATTTTATGTACATAAGATTACATAATCAATTGTGTCTTGTTCTGGGGCGAAGGATAATGATTTGTTCTGATAGTTCAACTCTAGTAACTGTGGGTCATCTCCGCAAGAATGGCTGGCTGACGAGTACCCCACAGTCTTCTGGAATATATTCTGGCGAGAGAACAATCCCTTTCACACAATGACTCATTTTCCACTGTCCAAACACAAGAGTGGGGTTTTAGGGTGCAAAGATCTCAGAACATTGATCAGTATTTCCTCTTCTACCCTAGCGTGTATTGATATCATATATCTTCAATCCTAGAGTGTAGAGATATCACACATCTTCTATTCTAGAGTGTAGAGATAGTATACATATTCTACCCTACCGTGTATAGATATCACACATCTTCTATCCTAGAGTGTAGAGATATCATACATATTCTATCATAGAGTGTAGAGATATTATTTATTTTCTATCCTAGAGTGTAGAGATATCATACATTCTTCTATCCTAGAGTGTAGAGATATCATACATTCTTATATTCTAGAGTGTAGAGATATCATATTTCATGTGTAGCGCACGTGTTAGTAGCTATCATACATTCTTATATTCTAGAGTGTAGAGATATCATACATTCTTATATTCTAGAGTGTAGAGATATCATACATTCTTATATTCTAGAGTGTAGAGATATCATACATTCTTATATCCTAGAGTGTAGAGATATCATACATTCTTATATCCTAGAGTGTAGAGATATCACACATTCTTCTATCCTAGAGTGTAGAGATATCATACATTCTTCTATCCTAGAGTGTAGAGATATCATACATTCTTATATCCTGGGGTGCAGAGGCAATATACATTCTTTATTAGTTTTTCCTCTTCTATCCTGGGTGAAGATGCACTTTTCGGTCTTGTTTAGAATCTGATCTTCGACTCTTGTTTGGAAAGTTAACTTAGTTTTGTATAGCCTTGACCCTGATTAAGAAAATATGGGCTTTTGAGTTGAAATGCTATAGAAAGATTCTCAAAACACCACAGAGCAAACATTTTGACATCCTAAACGATTTAAAGATTAAGTAAGATTGGCTAGAAAACAGCATCCTGTCTCGGAATCTGACATATTTTGGTCATATCAAGCGCCATTGCGTATTGGAAAAAAATATAATATCAGACGGCATGGCAGCAAGAAGGGACAGAGGCTGACCAGCATGAAAATAGGCAAAGAATATAACTCCTTGGGTAGGAAAGTGCACAAGGCGTGAGAGCTGGCGAGAGACTGAGAACCTGCCAGGCAAGATGCGATGACATCGACGTTCTTCAAAGGACCTGCTCCATGATGATGTTATTTAGCCTCTACTCTATGCCGGCTGGGGGTTAAGATGCTTTCATCTTGTTTATACTTGCCATTGTCACCTTTGGATGTTGAGATTCTTTACGTCTTGTGTAGTCTTTGATCTTCTACTTAGGATGTAGAGATATGATTTACTTTTTTGGTAAGTAAACTTTATCAAAAGCTAATCTACGTAAAATTAGATCTGCGAAGTTGAAAGTTAAATGTTGAATGTTGAATTAGGGATTGACATCACAACACTCAGGACACTCCCATAAGCGCTCCTTCCCCATCTTCAACAGCAAGCGAAAAGTTGCAATTCTGATGGCATCAGTTATTGTCTGATGGTATATCCGTCTTGCCCTTCCTCTGAGTGTTGAGCGTCAGCCAGATCCCCTGGTAACTCCTCGCAGCGCCATTCTCCTCATACTGTTATGATCTATATGCGCCTCCGCACTGTTCACTCGCCCCCAAAGCGCCCTCACAACATCTAACTTGTCATACATCAATTCACCACCAAGTTTTGCAGAGCCAGCCAGTCTATCTGTCTGCTGATTTCCCAACACACTGGCATAGCCTGGAGAAAATATCCAAAGCACGCTAACTACCCAGGACCTCTGAATTGATGCTTGCCACTCTGCATGGAGCATGCTATCTGCGAAGTAAGATGCCTGAGAGAAGCTGCCAACTTAATCTTCAGAGAGAGAGAGAGAGGGAGGGAGGGAGAGAGAGAGAGAGAGAGAGAGAGAGAGAGAGAGAGAGAGAGAGAGAGAGAGAGAGGGAGACAAAGTGAAAAATAATATTATGAAACATACTCTGGGAACAGCATCATGCACAATATTAATTGAGGAAGAGCAGATCAAATGGTTTGGTCACCTACTCAGAATACAGCCACAATAGCTACCAACACGTGCGCTACACATGAAAAGATCTTATGTGAAAGCAAGAGGTCGCCCCTGAAAAATATGGACTGATGGCATTAAATACCTTCTATATCAACACTGAATGACAGTAGCCATTGCTATCCATCAAGCAGTGGATCATAAACTGCTCCTCCCCACGGCTCTTAATGGCGAAAGTGGAAATTAATTATGATGATAACGATATATAAAGTTACAGATAAACACCTGATACTATGTATGGATGGATACTTCCTGCTTGTGTCGCCAATCATTACCCAGCATTCAGAACTGTTCCCGACATCACCACTGCAATTAAAATGTCAATGATTAAAGAAAAAAATTCACAAATCAAGAAATAAACAGATAAACAAAGAATATAATTTTTATTTTCGTTATTCTTTTAAATGTTTTGTTTCGCATTCCTTTCTGTTTCTAAAGTTTAGATTTAGTTATAGTTAGTCATGTGACTACCCCGTGGGAGAATTGCGGTCTATGATTCGTCTTTATAAAAGTGGTGAAAGAACTTGACAGCAAAGTTAATAAATAGCTTATACATGCATTAAATGCATAAAGCAGCCGTCAGAAGTGCCACTGAAAATAGTCCGCCACTACCCCCGTTTGGGTTCCAAGGCCTATTATAGGGAAAACAAGAACTGACCCACTGCCTACCAAAAAGGATGTCGTAAGAGTTGACTAGCTGGGAGCTTCCTTCGAAGTCGGAGTGCATCTGCCGGAGAGGCAAGGAACCAGATCTGTCAAACGGATGCACACGCAACACTCAGGTTCTGGAACAGGACTGCGGTCCAGAGGTGGACGAACAACCAGAACTTTCCACCAGAGTTTACAGCTGGTGGACACAAAGAAGAAGAAGAAGAAGTCCGCCACTATAAATGCCGTCTATTGTCTATGGAAGCACCAATTACAATGGCCCGGTAATATAACAAACGCAATTTGTTGCATAGGGCACCACCAGTTCTCCGGCATCAGGTGACACTCTATTTTCTGAATCTGCTGTACACAACACAAACCATTTTGAGCAGTCTAAAAGTGTTTCAATTAAAATCCGCAGCTCACAGTGTCGCTCCATGCACTCAACTCAGTAGCTAGGTGATAGGTGATGGAAGTATATCCTTTTAGATTAGATATTGAGGAAAATGCAATGGCTTACTATTGGCAAATAAAAAACTGGTGCTTTCGCAATATCTCCCTCAGGATGACGTCACAGGACAGTTCACTATTTTCGAAGGTTGAAAGAGCGTGTTTCCCGGTTTTCTGATGATGCTTCTAACTACCCCAAAACATCCAGAACTGAGCCTAACCCCAACCCACCTACGTATCCCGAGAGAGTGCAGCCTACATCCCCCAAGAGAGTGCAGCCTAGGTCCTACGACTGCATGCAGCCTATCTTCCACCCCCTAAAATATTCGACTGTCTATTTTGGGGAAGATATTGGGATAGAACCCAAAAAACTTGCCATGGCTAAAGACGGTAAGCCTGCCCATCCAACATTCTGATTAGAAGTGCCTGCCTATCCAACATTCTGATTAGAAGTGCCTGCCTATCCAACATTCTGATTAGAAGTGCCTGCCTATCCAACATTCTGATTAGAAGTGCCTGCCTATCCAACATTCTGATTAGAAGAGAATGCCTATCCGACATTCTAATTGGAAGAAAATGCCTATCCAATATTCTTATTAGAAGTGCATGCCTATCCAACATTCTGATTAAAAGTGCCTGCCTATCCAACATTCTGATTAGAAGTGCCTGCCTATCCAACATTATGATTAGAAGAGAATGCCTATCCGACATTCTAATTGGAAGAAAATGCCTATCCAATATTCTTATTAGAAGTGCATGCCTATCCAACATTCTGATTAGAAGTGCCTGCCTATCCAACATTATGATTAGAAGAGAATGCCTATCCGACATTCTAATTAGAAGAAAATGCCTATCCAATATTCTTATTAGAAGTGCATGCCTATCCAACATTCTGATTAGAAGTACATGCCTATCCAACATTCTGATTAGAAGTACATGCCTGTCCAACATTCTGGTTAGAAGTACATGCCTATCGCACATTCTGATTAGAAGTACATGCCTATCGCACATTCTGATTAGAAGTACATGCCTATCCAACATTCTGATTAGAAGTACATGCCTGTCCAACATTCTGATTAGAAGTACATGCCTATCCAACATTCTGATTAGAAGTACATTCCTATCCAACATTCTGATTAGAAGTATATAGAAGACAGAACAAGCGTTTACCTGTAGGCATCCACACAGAAATAGGGAGTATCCTCATATCCAATTGGACAGAAATAATGATTATGACAATGGTAAATGAAAGCTGTGTTCGTATCCTTCAATCCTTTCTTGAGAAAGTCCAAAGCCATCTCATCTGTCACACCTTCTGTCTGGTGTGTTCCACTTGGCTTGTACATGATAAAACCCTGGCCGTTTACGTTGAAATGAGAGCACAGTTCACTGAACCACCTATAGGAACAAGATTTGAGATACGGGTGGAATGTTTTGACTTTAAAAGAGTTGATTAAAACAATCGAGCAGTAAAAGTATATTATAAGGTCCCCTTTCCACGCCTTTAGAGGTACTGGAAACACAGGTTAGGTTAGGTTAGATGCGTATCCTTTACAGGACGTTACAGAACGAACCATAACAGCCCCTGGCTGTTGTGTAGATTTTCTAGGCAAATTTACGTCTAGTAGTTTGCCATTTCTTACTGGACGGTCGGCTTTCTTGATACCACTATCGAAACCAACGCAAGGCGCATGGCCCGCAGCTGGGATCGAACCCGGTATCCCGGCATTACGAAGCGCTCGCATCGACTTAGCCACAGAGCTGACAGGAATACAGGGCTAGACCTCAATTTTTATAGGCCAATCGGCACTTTGTGGGTTATGCGGTCAGGATCTCTTCGTTCATTTTGATTGTAATGGCTTCCGCCATTTTTAGTAAATGTCTATTTGGTGTACAGTGTGAGGTGGTTGGGTTGGGGAGGGAGGGGGTATTAAATGATTAATCCTTTAAATTCGAAATAGGAAAAAAAAGCTTAAAGAATTTATTGCCATAGAAAATGGCTAACTGCCTGCTGGAAACGTTGTACAAAGCACAAACTCGGTAGCTGCAGTAACAACTTCAAGAGATCCACAAAATATCCGCATTCATGAAAAAAAAAAAAAAAAAAAAAAATACAAAATCACAAATAGTTTGATACTCTCTTTCTAAAATTCAAAACAGGTGACTTATTACATAATAAAAATTAAAATTTCTGAAAAGTCGCTTTTTCTCGTTTCATCATGCATCTTAAAGTTTTGAAATCGTGTAGGGGAAATAACTTATGTATTTACTGGTGTTGGATTCGTATAGTGTGAGTTAAGGAACCTGATAGGCGATTTATGGTGACTTGTTTTTGGTCAAAGTTGAAACACCAATTTTCTCTGGTAACTTATTTTTGTAGAACAATCAGCACTGGATGGGCGATGTTATCAACATCACGCCGATCACCTTTGCTTCCCAAGAAATTACCTGGCACTTATTTTAGGCTGAGTCAACGTGAGAGCCGATGTCTGTTTGGAACAAATTCCTAACTTGAACCCAAAACTTTCAGTTCAGTAGGTGAGCCACCACAACGATTTATTTCTTTAAAATAAATAATTTTCTTTACCATGCCTGTAAATAGAGTGCTCAAATGTTACACAGAATCTGTACTGCTGTATGGCAGCGAATCTTGGAATGTTAGTGAACAAATTAGGAAGAATTTGGAAGCAACATAAAAGTAGTTTCTGAGACGAATGTTACGAATACCTTGGATCCCTTGCCAGAGTAACTAACAAAGATTGATTGAAAAAAGCTAATGAAAGTAGATCTCTTTAAACAACAATAAGAAACAGACAAACACTGTTCTGTGGTCACGTAATGAGAAGAGAGACACTGGAGAACATTGTGAGAACTGGAAAGATCAGCGGAAAAGGGGGTAGAGGCAGACCAAGAGAGACGATGCTGGACGGGCTAAAACGATGGCATGGAGGGACATCATCAAAAGAGCTGTTCCAGGCAACTAGAGATCGTGATCTGTAGAGACGCATGAGCGCCTACGCCAGTTAGCAAGGCACGTGATGATGATGACCATGTCTGTCATTCTTAATAAAAGTCTTTTTAAAAAAATTCGGTTTTTTATTACTATCCTACCCCTAGATGACGTCACAGGACAGTCCAACATTTTAGAGGGTGGTAAGACTGGGTTTTCCGGATTTTAAGACTGGGTTTTTCCGGCTTTCTGATGCTTCTAACGACCCCAAAATATCTAGAACTGGCCCTAACCCCAACCCACCTACGTACCACGAAAGAGTGCAGTCTAGGTATCAGGACTGCATGCAGCCTATCTACGACCCCCTGAAATATTAGACTGTCCCGTGACCTGTGGATTTCCTCTGTTTTGGGGTATGATATTAATAAAACAGCCGGATTCCACCCATGATATAAAAGTGACTGCCCGGTACAGAAAAGAACTGAGACAAATACAAACAAAGGGCACTGAGGCGAATAGCCCTCATCAATGGGGGCTGCGTGGTCTCGTGGCATGGTGTCCGCCTCGAGTGCTAGAGGTCCCGGGTTCAGGCCCCCGTGAAGGCTAGGATTTATTTCAAGTGGACTATTAGTAATTTCCCCTGGTCTCTGGGTAGTAAGATCGGACGCTCGTGTGTATTGTTGCGCACGTAGAAAATCCGTTGGCATTTGGAAATCGAAATTAAAAAAAAGTAACTTAACGGCGCTGCCCGGGCAAAATTTGGAGTTAAAAATCTATCCAAAATATTTCAGGATCCTCGCCGGTGCTAGGGAGCCATGCACTGTGTTGAGCTACTTCGGACTTAGACTTGCGTTAGAAGAAGAACGGAGCACTTATAGGTTACTATCCGTGTGCAATGATGTTGATCCGTCGTTCAAACCTCAAAAACCTCAACAGAAAATTACCAGGTAGGTAGGTAGGTAGTTGTATCCCACCGGGGCATCCACTAAGCGATAAACACTCGGTGACACAAAAATGCCACCATGCGGATGAGGATCACACGTGGAGAGGTCCATGAAACCCCTCTCAGTCATTAGGCCATATCTGGCTATGTTCAGGGCTTCCCTGCAGAAGCCAGAGTGGGGCTTCAGTGATGAGAAACATAACACAACACACACAAATTAACGTACTATCTTATTTTACATTTCTTCTTCTCTTTCACTTTGTTCTTCCTTCCATCGAAGTGTCGGGGGGAGATATAATGTTCGTTGATGAGCACTGTCAAAGAGCACTATTAAGACTGATGTTCATTTCTGTAAGGCTGTTCTTAATGCCATCACTCCATCTTTTCCGAGGTCTTCCACTCGCTCTATACCCGTTGTAACGTTTCAGTGTGGCTCGCTGTGGCAGATAGTACCAGGGCATTCTTGTTAGGTGTCTAAACCACTTCATTTGTGGTTCTTTGATGACCTGTAAGACTGGCTTTATTCCTAGCATTCGTCTGATTTCATGATTTCGTATTCTCTCTTTCCTTGAAACTTCTGCAGCTCTTCAAAGTGTTTAAATACTGTGTAAACAAAACGAAACAAAACCATAATAAACAGCAGAATTATATAAAGTCTGAGCTATATGCACGTGAACGCACAATGAATCGTACCGCAAGAGAGTTGTATTTCCTGTTATTGGACCAAAACTGATTTCATCAAACGGGGAAGTAAATCCAAACAGCTTCATGGCCGATTCCTGTGTTACAGGTTTCAGTCTGTGTAGATATACAAACATGGCATGATTTTGTTTCGCGGTGGGTAAACTATGGCACGTAGGCCAAAACTGGCTCGTGGAACAGTTTTCACTGTCCCACGAGGCTGGTGTAAAATTACTATATAGTCTTCTTTTTGTTGTTGTTGTTGTTGTTGTTGTTGTTGTTGTTCTTCTTCTTCTTCTTCTTCTTCTTCTTCTTCTTCTTCTTCTTCTTCTTCTTCTTCTTCTTCTTCTTCTTCTTCTTCTTCTTCTTCTTCTTCTTCTTCTTCTTCTTCTTCTTCTTCTTCTTCTTCTTCTTTCTTCTTCTTCTTCTTCTTCTTCTTCTTCTTCTTCTTCTTCTTCTTCTTCTTCTTCTTCTTCTTCTTCTTCTTCTTCTTCTTCTTCTTCTTCTTCTTCTTCTTCTTCTTCTTTTTTTTTTCTTCTTCTTCTTCTTCTTCTTCTTCTTCTTCTTCTTCTTCTTCTTCTTCTTCTTCTTCTTCTTCTTCTTCTTCTTCTTTCTTCTTCTTCTTCTTCTTCTTCTTCTTCTTCTTCTTCTTCTTCTTCTTCTTCTTCTTCTTCTTCTTCTTCTTCTTCTTCTTCTTCTTCTTCTTCTTTTTCTTCTGCGTCTTCTTCTTGTGTTTGTTCTTGTTCCTCTTGTTTTTGTTTATCTTTTTGTTTCTGTTGTTGTTGTTAATGATAATGTTGTTGTTGTTGTTCTTGCTGTTCTTCTTCTTCTTTTTCTTCTTCTTCTTCTTCTTCTTCTTCTTCTTCTTCTTCTTCTTCTTCTTCTTCTTCTTCTTCTTCTTCTTCTTCTTCTTCTTCTTCTTCTTCTTCTTCTTCTTCTTCTTCTTCTTCTTCTTCTTTGTCTTCTTCTTTGTCTTCTTCTTCTTCTTCTTTTTCTTCTCCTCCTCCTGCCCCGCCTCTTCATTCCTTTTCTTCTTCTTTCCTTCTGCATTCATCCTTAAGACTGGGGTTTGAGGTAGACAACTAGGCTGCAGTATCTGCGCCTTTCAGTCCAATACATCTGATTTCCACCAACATTTAGTAAGTCTAATATGCTTGTTAAGAAGCACGTCAAAACAGGGATGACTACAGTCAAGCTAATACGAGGGCTATTCTAAAATCAACCTCCGATTAGCTGGTTCAAAAAAGAATCATCGTCGGTACGTAAAACATTAAACAAATCCAACTGTAGGCTGATGTGTAGTCACCTAAAAGAATAATGAATGATGCAAGCAATGAATGGTGTCGCTATGGCAAAGATTTACTTTTACAAGCTAACGGGAGGTTGTTTTTGGAATAGACCTCATACAATGAACAGTGACTAAACAGCTTAATAAATCGTGGATGGGAAACAACGTGCACAAAATAGACAAATCGACGTTTCGACCGGAGCCTTTTTGCACATGAACAACACTCGAGCCGAAAAGTCGACCTGTCCGTCTATTTTGTGCACATTGTTCACCTTCCCCGTTTTGTTAAGCTTTTCAGTCACAGCTCATTTGATTAACTTTTTTGTGACAATACAGTGGCTTTACCCCCTCCCCCAACCCCCACCAAGGACAAAGTTCGCAACCACGTCATTATCTTGACATAAATAAATAAATAAATAAATAGATAAATAAATAAACAGTTTACTTCTTTCTATGAGTGCCCATCAATACATTGACTTTTTGTTAATTATATATATATATATATATATATATATATATATATATATATATATATATATATATATATATATATATATATATATATATATATATATATATAACATTTGTCTACAGCTTCATGGGTTCCCGCTCTGTTAATTTATGTGAATGACGTGTGACACAATGGAACCTACCAATCAAATGTCTTTCTTAAATGTTCGTGTATTCTAAAGCTTTACGTTCTGCTGTGTTCGTAAATTGTTGCTGTGTTCGTTATACGACCTATGCTTCGTTAATAAAAATGTCTGTAACCCATGGTGCCATTTAAATGGTTTGGGATGAATTCTGTCGGTATTCCGAAGTTGTGGATTCCAAGCTGTACGATATACATGCCAACGAAGACACATTTTGTTGGGGTGCCTAGTTGGTTCTGTTCTTAGTACGCTTGTTTCCATATCGAGACGCACACGTCATCTAGATGTGACAGGTTCGAATCCCGGGACGGCAACTTTTGCTTTCGATTTTTATGTTGTCTAATGTGTCCTTCTGTCTTTGTATGAGTGCCGATCAATATATTGTCTCTTTTTTAATTATATGTAGTCATGATCTTTAATATCAGGTTAAAAAAACAAACTAAAGTGGATCAGTGACAGTTACGATGGTTTAAACATGTCTGCAGAATGGGAGAGAGTCAGCCATTATGGCAGGCATGGGAGACTAAGAACTAGGGAACCAGACCTCCAGGACGACCCAGGGTTCCCTGGGAAGACAACATTCGACAGTCCCTGACTGACAGAGGACTCGAATGCAACAAAGACACACACACACATACACAAAACCGGCCGATATAGAAATCTGGCGATCTCTCTGGCAAACCTCTACATCCCAGGGTAGAAGAAGGTCGACTAAGTAAGTAAATACAACAGACGAGGTGTGGATGTTGCAGTTGTGGTACTGAACACATTTAGCCAAACAAACCTTCCATGGCCCAAAGTGGAGAACAAAAAGTTGAAACAGGAGACAACAGAAGAAACACCGCATGATGACTTGTACTGGGGACGGCTGATGCAGTACCTGCACATACAGAAGTGACAAAACACATGTCAAGTTAACTGTAAAGCTATAAGTAGTCGATAGTGGAGCTCTCTCTCTCTCTCTCTCTCTCTCTCTCTCTCTCTCTCTCTCTCTCTCTCTCTCTCTCTCTCTGTGTGTGTGTGTGTGTCTACCCCCCCCCCCCCCCAGCTCACACAACACACACAAACATCTTGATTGTGACTGTCTCCGAACACAAGGCTTTGTGCAGAGTGGCAAGCTTCGCTTTGGAGGTCACGGATCATTGTCTGGATCTTTTCTCTGGATATGCAGGTGTGCTGTGAAATTACCAGATGGACAGACTGGCTGGCTCTGCACAACTTGGTGGAATACTGATGCATGATAAGGCAGATGTCGTAGGGCCTTGTAAGAGAACTTGTACAGTTCGGGGGAGCCAATGGATCGCCATATTCTGGTTTGTTAGTCTACGTGTATTTTTCTCTTTCTCTGTGCCCTTGTCTCGCTCTTTCTCTGTGTGTTTCCCTTTCTGCATGCCTACCTCTGCTTGTCTGTCTCTTCCACTCTATATTTGTCTGCCTCTCTAACCTGTCTGTCTCATCACCCCCTCCCACTACACACACACTCACTTCTAATAATGCAAAACACAAGTTGATCTAAAAACCTAAATCACGGCATGCGGGACATTCTCATAAGTGCTTTGTCCCATTCCCCAGCAGCCAGTGAGCGCACAAAGAGAGAGAGAGAGAGAGAGAGAGAGAGAGAGAGAGAGAGAGAGATGGCCAATAAAACAACAGAGTTAGAGAGAGAGACAGAGACAGAGAGAGAGAGAGAGAGAGAGAGAGAGAGAGACAGAGAGAGAGAGACACACACACACACACAGAGGAAAAAAGGGAGAGAGGGCCATATAAAACAACAAACGTTGACCCACCATCGTTTGAGGTCGAGAACTTTCCTCTCTGCAGGATTGCCACACTCCCCGATAGCCCTGCAGGCCAGGATCTCCTCCGTACCCATCTGCGTAGAGGAACTGTTGCTCTGCATCTGGTTGTGTTTGCTCCTGCTGGGTAGTTTGAGGAACTCTTCTGGCTTGGTCCAGCTGGCAGGCAGACCTGGAGACAGGTCAGTTCGATCAAATAACAGCATCAAAAACTGGGTACGTTCAACAGCCGCGATGTCGCAGCTGAATACGACGTGGAAGAGCAAAATCAGCATCGCAGTCAAGATCAATATTTACAAATCACTGTGGGTGTGAAAGTTAGACTCTTACTGTGGAAATGGAAACGAGGATCCAGGCTTTCGAATGTAAATGCTACTGGCGTATTTTAGGAATTAGTTATTTAAAAAACAAAACTAATAAATAAGTCAGAGACAAAATATACAACTTTGCGGGACATCAGATGCCTTTCTTGGCAGTGGTGAAACGTCGCAAGCTAGCTTGGTTTGGGCACGTGGTGAGACATGATTCGATTGCAAAGACTGTACTTCAAGGAACATTGGGGGATAGTCGAAGAAGAGGAGGACAAAGAAGAACCTGGAATGACAACATTAAGAAATAGACAGGACTAAGTTATCATACACTTATTCATCAAGCAGAAGACAGAGAAAGATGGCGGGTTTTATGTACTAGTGCTTCCGTTAATACACATCCACGACCTTGTCGGGTCAAGGGTTATGTTATGTTCTGTTAAGTTTAACACCTACAATAATTGCTAGGAACAAACATTCCCACTAAAGCCTCTATTTACCATTGTTGCCTTCAATCCTGAGGATTTATGGCGGCATGGCGAGTGCTGTCACCACGAACTGTACATGTTAGGATTTTATCATGGAAAGTTATGTGCAGAGGAGAGTTGAGTTGATTTAAGAACTGACATCACAGCACTTGGGACATTCCCAATCTTCAGCATCCAGCGCAGAGTTTCAATGGTGCCGGTAGCATTATGAGTATACTTACATCTCGCCTTTCCTCTGAGCGTCAAGTATCGGCCAGAACCTCTCGTCACTGCTTTACTCTCACCAGACTGTGGTGATCCATCTGCTCCTCCGAACTGTACACGCTCTACCAAAAGGCCCTAACCACGTCTGCCTTATCATGCATGAATATTCTACCAAGTTGGGCACAGCCAGCCAGTCTGTCCGTTTGTTCTTTTCCCCAACACACCGGCATGACCGAAGAAAACATCCAGACGATGCTCCTCACCCGTGACCTCCGAAGCGAAGCATGCCACTCTGCACAAAGCATGCCTGTCCTGAGCTTTCCCAGTTATCAAACAAAATTAAAAATAGAGCTCATCACCTTCACATTATCGCAAACACAAACTACAAGTCAACGTTGCGTCTAAAAGGTCTTCATCAGCACATTACATGAATAGACAGTACTACAAACATGAACACAAATGCACAATACCACTAAACAGAAACATTCCTGATAGAAAAAAAAATCTACAAACTTATTACGGATTCGAAGCCGGGACTACCGTATGAGAGCGCTGCCTTCTTAACCATTTGACCAGGAGCTCCTTCAGTATAAACAATACACATATGGTCCTTCTACTTCTCTGTTTACCGGTTTTGAGCTCCGGCGGAAAGTCTTGGTTGTTCGTCTATTTGGACTTTGGCTTTGTGCCACGGCCTGAGTTTTGTGTGTACATCCGTTTTACTGACTTATTTGTGTGCAGCTGGTTTTTCTTCGCCGCTCGGGCAGATGCACTCCGACTTTGAAGGAAGCTCCCCATTAGTGGACTCCTAGGACATGCTTGTTGGAGGGGCGGTGGATCTTTTCCTGTTTTATAACGCCCAATGCAAAACTCAGACTTCCATTTTCACACTGGCGACGAGTGACTGTGTTATTTCTCGGTGGCTGTGATTTCTCCGTGACTGTTCTTTTTTCTTGCAATGGGTTGCTATTTTATGCATGTTTCCGAAGCAGGATACTATACGCGTGAGTGTGTGTGACAATTTTTTTATTGCTGTTTTTGTTATCGATCCAGCGGCGCATGAGATTTCGCCCTTTGGCCCAATGCCATGTAGTGGAATTTGCATGTTTTCACAAGCTGTTCTTTTCCTCCGTACAAGGTGTTCCACTTGTCTGGTCTCGGAGGGAGTAGCGTTCTTCTTGTCTCACTGAGTTTTGGGCACTCAAAGAGATGGTGGTCAACAGTTTCGTAGGGGTAGTTACATAGCTGGCACTCTGGGGAGTGTTGTGGCTGTATTCTGTTTAGGTGTCCACTGAATGGAGTATGTTGCGTTATAAGTCTGAAGATGGTGGCCTGGTCCCTTCTTGTTAGATGGTTAATGCTTTCATTAGGATCAGGGCCAGCCATATAAACCTCTCTTTTTTAAAATTAGAGTAGTATGTTCTACTGTTGCGCTATGTTAGGGCTGGATGATAAGCGATAGATCTGGCAGTCTCGACCACGATATGCTCGCAGTGTTTTGATTGCATCTGTCCACTATCCCGGAAGACAGAACCTCGTTAGTGAGTGGGGAACCACAAACTCGAAAACAGATCGTGTCATCCATTTGTGTGTGTGTATGTGTGCGTGTATGTGTCTTACCACTTGTTGATTAAGATATGCTTACCCTGCATGCAAAAGCTGGACGGCGGATTGTGCGGATGAAACCTTTTATTGGTTTAACGGACAAGAAGGCGTTTACCAGCAGGCTCAGTGGAGAGCTTCGAGCAAGGCAAGGCACTTAAGACGCCTTGGTCATCCACTGCACCTAGGTCCATTTCCAGTCGTCTCGACATTGTCCTGCCATTGGATCAAGATAGACACGGGCGAGAATGTGATCTCGACGAATTGCGCATCTCTTCCACACTTAAAGCCAAGTCCTTGCGCAAGTCACTTTCATCCAGCTATCAACATAATCAGAAGATCATCTGAGAAGATCGGCTACAAGAGCAAGAGGACGGCCACGGAAAAAATTAAACGACAACATTAAACACACTCTACGCCTTCACGGCATAACAATAGCCAGTGGTAGCCAACGTGCACTGGATCGCAAATTATTCCTCCCCACTACTCTTAACGGCAGAAGTTTATGATGATGATGATAATGATATCACCATCATCATAATCAGTTGCCCGCACTGCTCAAGAACTTTCCTGGCTCATATTGGACTAATCAGCCACCTTCGTACTCATAATGATTGATCGTTACTACTTTTGATGAAACAAATTGGACTCCAAATTAACACCACATTAACATCGTGGAAGACCAAGGGAAACCCTACGTAGAACTATCATCAGGGAAGGCTCGCTCATGGGCCACTCAAACATCCAAGACCTACAACAGATTGCAACGAACCGCCATGCATGGAGAGTCATGACCTCTGCCCTATGTGCCGCACTCGACACAAGAGGAAAGACTAACTAACTAACTAACTTTGGATGAAACTTGTCTTCATCACTCCTAATGGACGAACAACGTGTGTGGAGAGGAATCGACACATGGTCATGGTCAATACAAAAGTAGCACAAGTCTTACAAAAATGCCTCTTCTTGATCCTAACTCGCCCTGTGTGGTCACACACGTTGATGTCCAGGGATGCAGGATCTCCAGACTGCCCACTGGCCAGGCTGCTCTCCGAGCGTCCAGTACTGCTGCCGTGCTTGTCTATTACGAAAGTCTTATCCCAGGTTCTTCTGTTGGCGTGAAGCCTGTCTGTCAGTTCTGGCATGGATTCCAGAGTCTGTCGAATGAGAGTATCTTGGTAAAAAAGACAGTAGCAGTATTTGAATGACAGTAACAAATAGCAGACAGTATTACTACATAAATGACAATATCCTTATATTAATAATGGCGTCTTCTTCTGCCTTTCTAACCCCCAATGAAGCAACTCACAATCAACCCACGCCAAGTCGTTCTATCCTTCGCCATCGCATGCATCTCTTCCCATCTTTTTAACTTCACTCTCTAGGTCCCTTCTTCATGGGTGTTTCCTTTTTTCTTTGTCTTCCTTTATTTCTATGCCCCTGTGGGTTCCAGAGCAAATACATTGTAGTTATATTGTTCCTATGTTTTCTCGAGGTGTGTCCTATCCAACGCCAGCGTCTTTTCTTCACCTCTTGGTCCACTGGAGCTTGTTTTGTTCTCTACCAAAGCTCTACATTAGTTATTCTTTCAAACCATTTAATTCCCTCTATTCTGTGTAGGCACCAATTAATGGATTGTTGTAGTTTATTTTTAATTGCCTTAGTTTTTTTACATGTTTCCGCTACAAACAAATATCAGAATTAAATTTTAATTTTTTAGTTTCAATTTTTCTTTGACCTCCACAAATTCCCTAGTTCTACAAAAGCTCCGCTTGATTTTTGTATTCAATTTTTAATATCTCTGTCATTCCCCCATCTTTATCTACATTAAGAATGACATCATTACCATATAAATGAAGCATGATTATATTAAAGACATCCTTTTTATGATACAGGGTGTGTCATAAGGTTCACTACAAAATAATAAAAACATCACCTACTCTATTACCAGCGGAACTCCAGATGTGCTGATACGCCATCTTCATCTGTGGAGGACACGCATGGAAATGTGTTCTCAAATCAACTGTAGTCATTTTAGTTAGTCTTTCCTTTTGAGCCTAAGGCGGCGCATAGGGCAGAGGTCATAGCTGTCCATGTCTGGCGGTTCGTTGCCTCGTGTTTTAGGTCTTAGATGTTCATTAGCCCCATGGTTGAGCCTTCCCTGATGATGGTTCTACGCAGAGTCTCTCTTGGTCTTCTCCGTTTTCTTTTCCCCTTCCGGTGTCCACAAGAGGACTTGATAGGGAAGTCTGGTCTTATCCATTCTGAGTGTATGGCTGATGTAGTTCCAGGGGCGCTTTCTTGTTGAATGTAGTCATGCAGAGCATAACAATGATTTTAATAACCCCCCCCCCCCCCCCTTTTCAAAAAAAAAAAAACGTTGTTTTATTTTCTGTGTATGGAAAGTGATAGTATCACTACAGCAAAGACGGCGTCGTTATATGATAGACAGTATCATTGTATGACAATATCACATATCACACATATCAAACACATCAGAACTTTTGAACTGAAATGTTACAGAAACATACTGAGAGTACCATGAACGGAAGAAAAATAAAAACGTTGATTTCAAAACGATGTGAAAATGTGGGATAACCTGCTCATAAACAGCATCCTGCCATAACAGGTAAGCTATTTTGGCCAAGTTAAACAGCTTAGTGTCTGTCCTGTCGAGAAACGGAAGTTTCCGGTAAACGAGGCAGAGGCCGAGCTCCTCGAAGGTGAATTCAAGACACTGCAGACGCATTGGCTATGAAAGCAGATAGGGTTGGATAATTGGCTAGAGAAAGAGAGACCTTTAGACGCTCCGTGACGATAGCGACGATCTGAAAAGGACATGTCGAGTAATGAGGATAAGTATATGAATGACAGTATTAGTAAACACATGTCAGCATCGGCAGATGACAGTGTCAGTAAAAGTATATGAATGACAGTATTAGTAAACACATGTCACCATTGGCCGGCAGATGAAAGTGTCAGTAAAAGTATATGAATGACAGTATCACTATACATATGTCGTGATCGACAGGTGACAGTTGTCAGTAAAGTATATGAATGACAATATCATTACATAAACAACAGTACAAGTGCATCATTGTACAAATGAAAGTATCATTATATGAATCAAATTATATTGAAACATAACAGAATACACATAAATTATGATTACATAAACGAATGTATCAAAATATGAAGGAATCTTTGTAAATCTGATTGTCTGTGTAGCTTTTTACTCTTTACAAAGAATAGCTAGGTTACTCCCATTGGGGCTTGCAGTAGCGAATCAAACCTAGTCTTTTCAGATAAGTACATGCAAGTTGAAAGCCCTGTGAAAGTATAGTGTGCACAGTGTCTTTCTCCTTGTCTTAAGGTATGTTTAATGGATTGTAACAGGCTCATATCTGTACAGACCGGTCGCCACCAATGGCTGATGGGGTCATTATCACGACGGTCACCTTTGCTTCCAAGAAATGTTCTAGATCCCATGTTTGATGTAGCAGAAGTCGTATTAGTAGCAATATCAGCAGCAACGATAGTAGTTGAAGCAGTAGTAGTAGTAGTAGTAGTAGTAGTAGTAGTAGTAGTAGTAGTAGTAGTAGTAGTAGTGGTGGTAGTAGTAGTAGTAGTAGTAGTAGTGGTGGTGGTGGTGGTGGTGGTGGTGTAGTAGTAGTAGTAGTAGTAGTAGTAGTAGTAGTAGTAGTAGTAGTAGTAGTAGTAGTAGTAGTAGTAGTAGTAGTAGAAGTACTAGTAGTAGTAGTGGTAGTAGTAGTAGTAGTATTAGTAGTAGTAGTAGTAGTATTAGTAGTAGTAGTAGTAGTAGTAGTAGTAGTAGTAGTAGTAGTAGTAGTAGTAGTAGTATTAGTAGTATTAGTAGTAGTAGTAGTAGTAGTAGTAGTAGTAGTAGTAGTAGTAGTAGTAGTAGTAGTAGTAGTATTATTATTAGTAGTAGTAGTTGTAGTAGTAGTAGTAGTTGTAGTAGTAGTAGTAGTAGTAGTAGTAGTAGTAGTAGTAGTAGTAGTAGTAGTAGTAGTAGTAGTAGTAGTAGTAGTAGTAGTAGTAGTAATAGTAGTAGTAGTAGTAGTAGTAGTAGTAGTAAAATAGAAGAAAAACGTCTTATTCTGAGCATTCACCAGCTCTAAACTCCAGTGAAAAGTTTCGGGTGTTCGTCCACTTGTGGATTTTTGTCTTGTTCCAGAACTTGACTTCTGCGTGCACAACCATTTTACAGATCGGGCCCATCTGTATGCAGACTGTAGGTTTCTCACCTCTCAGAATAATGCACTCTCTTTGAACTGATCCCCCACCCCCAATTAGTCGCCTTTTACGACATGCTTGTTAATGGGACAGTGAGTCCGCTCTTTCTTTCTTTCCCGTAATAGGGCCCTGGAACTCACACGGGAATTATAGAAGTAAATTTTGGGTGAATTTTTTTAGTTTTGTATGTTTTTTTTTGGAGGGGGTTGGGGGCGGGGGGGGGGGGGGGTTATTTTTTGCATTCGGTAAGAGTTAATCACCTGAGCACTGAATCACCGATGTAACCCAGTTTTCTTCAAAAATGACATTGGCTCTCAGGTCGACTCAGCCTTTAGTGGGTGCCAGGTGCAGTCCTGGGAAGAAAAGGCGGCCACATCACCCACCAAGTGCCCTTTGGTCTATAAAAATGTCGTGCCCTATATGCCCAATACGCCTGAAGGCGTAGAAAATGGTTCTATACCATACTTTACTTTACCTACTGAACCACCAGGCAAATATACTAGCTACTTTCATGGCTCCCCGAGGACCATAGAGCATGTTCAAAACTCTACGGCAGTTGGGAACTGACAACAGCGAGCCAAATATTCATTTGACCTACACTTCTAGAGGGGGTTTCTTTTAAAAATAGTTATTCTTTCAATTTCCCCTCGATGATTGTAGCCTGTGGGATTGACATCTCAAGAACGAGCATCACACAGACACAAACCCGGAACACCCCATTCAACTGTATAGCCGTATTAAAGTTAAGTACACTTTTCCACGCTTTAGGCGTATAAGGCATAAAGGGCTAGACCTTTATTTAAGAGACCAATCGTCACTTGGAGGGTGATGTGTTCAGCATCACGCCGGCCGCCTTTACTTCCCAGGACTGCACCTGGTACCCATTCAAGGCAGGGTCGACCTGGGAGCCAAGTTTATTTTAAAAATCCGGTTACGTCATGACCTGAACCTACAGCCTTACGATCCGCAGGCAAGACTCTGTGTGGCGTTGGTAGTCATGTCTATCGACAACCTTCTGTCTCGTGTCTATTCAAACAGTTCTGATACAGATGGTCTTCCATAGCCCGCGTCACATGGAATTGGCTTGTGTGCTTTCAATCGGTTCTGATACAAATGATCTTCCATGTCATGATGTCAAACTGTCCATCACCTGTTCGCTGGTCTCCCTCCGTCTCTCTTCTTCTCCAACTTTCCTACTGTCACGATGTACTCCAGTTTTCTCCTTCTCATGACATAACAAAAGAATGTTTCCTTTTCCATTTGGGCAATCAGTTCTCTTCATGAGTCAAGTTTCTTTTGAGACAACCTTATTACCTTGCGGGACTACCTTTGAAGACAACTCGGCCGATCTATCGGCATAACAGCAAAATGGCCAAAAAGACGGCTGGGACGATTCGACGGCCCTAAAATACAAGCCTCGAGATTGGCTAGCAGTTTTTCGTACCAGCCAATCAGATTGCTTCTCGCATTTCTTGCATACATAGGATGTTCATGACGGCTTTCATGGAAGTTTGATGTGTTCTGTAATTTTACATCGATTTTCATTTTGGTTTTGTTTTTGGTCATAGCAATCAACATATATTATGAGATAGGAAAGGAGTAGAACCATGTGCCTGGGGTGTCTGGAGAACCTGCATGGGCCTTACTTCTCAATACACAAATGTTAGGACTTAATCAAGATTTATTCATCATAAAATTTAGTCAGACAGTTAAATTTAGCCATGCATGCATGCATAAACATGCAAATTCAACAGTTATTTTGAGATCTCAGTGTGATTCATAAAGATTGTTTTCATTTATTCAATTTCTTATACGAAATTATACAGTTTTATACATGTTAATTAAACGCTCTATTTTTTAAAAATAATTTGTGTGTGTGCAAAATAAGAGAATGTTCCCA